GAGATCATTAATTTCTTTAAGTAACGGCTCGGCTATTGTTAATTGAATCGCTAACCTGAAAAAGGGGACATGTTATGTGAATTTTTGCAGGACTTGTACCCTTTTTCAAGTTAACGATTCAAGTGTTATTTTAATACGCGTAAAACTTTTCCTAAGTTTAAAAATTATTTGCCTTAAGAGGATAAATTAAAAATAAGTCAAATATTTATATATAATATTGCTACATTTAAATAATTTACTGAAGGGAACAATTAAATTTATCTTTAATTAGAGTGGGAAATAAAATTTGTTTGTTATGATGTCGCCTTAATATCAATATAATCTTAATAATACCAGACTTAGTTTAAAAAGTTTATTTGTTTAGGTACAAAATATCTTTAAAAAACTAATTAAATTTTGATTATTTTGAAATATTCTAAACGTCATTGTAAGTATGTTTGTTTTTTTTATTGTTACTAAAGATTCCTTATAATAAATTTGTTAAATATGGTTTTATCTAAGGTGCTATAGCATTTCCCTATATATAAATGCTTATATACAGGGAAATGCTATAGAAAAAAAAACATTTTGTTTTGTCTTATAAAGCTGTCTGAAACAGTATTTTTACTATTTAGTCTTAAAGTTAGTGACTGCGTTAAACCTTTAGGGAATCGTATTATATTACGGCGTTGAATTAATTTACAATAATTTTTTTTATGTTCAGTTTTTTAGTTTCATTTAATTTGTAATAAAAGCTTTACACAAACAAAATTGTTTGCATAGTTTATAGCTAGCGTATTTCATGGTTTCGTTAACGTTTAATGGTATTAAACTATTGTGTTTACACTATGTCAGCTGACAGCCAAGAGTCTGTATATTCACATTTTGTGTTTTTTCTGAGTGTGTATCCACAAAATTTGATTTCAAAAATAATAGAACTTTAGAAAATGCTTGAATAATGAGTGGGAATTTCTGCTAGGAAGTTTTTACATACTAAAATCTAAAGCTCGATTTCATGGCAACGCAAAAAAATGACATACGCCTTCTTAGTTCTCGGCTGACGACTTTTTATTTCTATTTTTTTTTTAATAAATTTTTTTTTAATATATCAAAATTAAAACAAAATTAAATGTAGAATAATGTCTATAACATTATATTATAATTACAAAAAGTTAAAAGTCTAAATAAAGTTTTTTTTTTGCATGTAGATGCGTATTGTATTTCCTGAATTAAATTTTAAAAATATCGAATTGTGGGTTAAAAGAACGAACATAACATTAAAATAACTTGCGGTTGTAAAGCATAAGCAATCGGTAGTCAGTGTCACGTGATTAAAAAAGTAGTAAAAAATAAAACCACCCATGGCTCAATGGTTAGAGCGCTTTCTTCAAAATCTCGAGATCTGAGGTTTGATACTTTGACCGATCGTGCGACATTGGTAAAAAAAAAAAAAAAGAAGAGTGAACTACAAAGTTTAATGTTTTTCCGCGGTACTCTGTTATAAGACCGTAAACACAATATACTGCTCTTTTTTTATAGGATTTTAACTAAATTATTTTTACTCTAAGTTTTTTCAAACTCTTTCAATTAGACTTGAAAAAAAATAAAAACAGTTGAAAGCAAGTTTTTTTAAAAGTTAACAAGTTTTTAAAAGTTTTTTAGTTGAAAACAAGTTAAATTGCAAAATTTCTTTTTTAAACCCTTAAAAAAGAAATTTTGAAAATTTTTTTTTTTCTTAAATAAGATTAACTATCTTATTTAAGGTCAATTCTTTTAAAAAAAAAAGCGTTACTGGAGTTTTAGTTCTCACATGCTCTGGCGTGTCGAGTCTGGCGTGAGTCTCAATCCAAATTTAATATTTAGAAATTGATTTCAAAATTTTATAAAAAACACTTGACAATATTGAAAAATTTACGTCAAAAAGGTCAATTTATTAATAGTTTGTTTAAGTTTTAAAAGGTACAATTAAAAAATAAAATAAATAAAAAAGTATAAAAGATCTAATTTTTAAAAGTTTTAAAACAATTTTTCAGAGTATTGATCCACAAAATTAATAATAACCTGATATAATTAAATATTGAAAAACAACTATTGCAACAAAAATTACTCAACTGAACTAATTTTCAGAAAATTAAGTACTTAACTATATTGTAAACGGAAAGGTAGAGCTATCAGTAAAGCGTGTTTGACTAATTAATAAACAGCATTAGATTTAAATAAGAAACCAGAAGTGAACATGGATAAACAAAATGATTGTACTTTGCATAGTTCGAAATCCAGAGGAGTATCATAGCAATCGAAAAATATTTTTTCGAACCCTTCAACTCAATAAATTGAAGCTTAATTTAGCTTTAGACATCAATCTCATCAAGATTATCTTTGACTTGTCTGTAAGTACCTTATTTTCATAAATTAATTTAAAGATGCATTTTAAATAAACAATCTTAATATGTTTTTTTTAAATTTTGTCGTTCACGGTAGAAAAAACTCATATAGCACATAAGTTTTAAAATAATGATTGACAAAAAATTACTACTTCAGTACTAAATAAATACATCTAAGTAAAATTTTTAACCTCGTCTTTATCCAAAATCCTTTTTTTTTAAAAAAAATTTTATTGGCAATGTTACAATGATGATAATTTTGATGCTTCTTAGGCGTAAATTTTGAGATTCTTAAGCAAAATAACTCTTCATTCCTTAATCAAATATCTGGAATGCATTGAAACCGAAAGTTTATAAATGCTAATTTTTTTTTAACTTTAACTTAACGCACAAAATGAAATTGAGCAGATCACCACTCTCAATAATGTAAATAGAAAAAAAAAATATTCCCAGTGGGCACCGGACCAAAAAAAAACGTCTTTTGAACGTTCAAAAGACGTCCAAACGTTCAAAAAACGTTCAAAAGACGTCCAAAACGTGTATAAGACGTTTAAAAGACGTCTTTTTTACGTCTGTGCTCACTGGATTAGCTCTGGTTTGCATAAAAGATTTGATAAAATCGGATAAAGATTAAACTAGAACAAATATCCAAAGCAGTGCATAAAAATTTATACTCTAAAAGGATTTGATGTGTCTAAGAAAAATGAAAACACCATTGTAACAAAATAAGAGCCACATTTGTTAAAACACATTTAATTGATATTGTGAAGAGATTTTCAAAGACTTATTTATATAAAAAGAAAAAATTATTGCTTAGCAACTCATTATTATATGAGTAATTCTACTGAGATTATAGCATCGTATCAAAAACACATTCATAAAATGCCCACAGTAACCTCCTGGAATGAAGAGGTTAAGGTTTAAAAAACAAATTTAATTAATTATAATTTAGAATATAACTCATTAAAAAGTTTTAAACTTTGCTAAAATTTAAATTTAAGTTAAAAACACTGTTGTTGTTACGAAATATTTACAAAATAAATGGAAATAAACCTTTTTATTATTGTTACAAAACATTCACAAAATAAATGGAAATAAACCTCTTTATTATCATTACAAAATATTCACAAAATAAATAGAAATAAACCTCTTTATTGGAGGCATTGAAAAACAGTAATTTCTTTTTGTAAACATCTACTCGCAGCTTTTTTTGTGGTTGTCTGCTCAATATCCCAAGATTGATTTTACAATTACTTCTTCATTAAACTTTAAGTTTAAATAACTTTAATGTAAATGAGGATGTAATTGACTATGTGCCAGTAGTTGACCATTTAAAAAGAAAATTGTTCTGAAAGACCTACTCTTGAAGAAAGATGGCTGAGTGTCAATATGTTATGCTTTTATCTAATGTTTTACATTTCTACAATTCGCTACAGAGACGTTGCTAATAAAGTTAATTTTAAAATTTCAATTTTAGTATTAGTTATTCATATAAATAAGTATGTTTGGTACTAATGAAAAGCTATTCATTTTTTTGTTTACTTTCCATCTGTACTAAGTTGTGAGGGTGGTTAAATAATAACAATTAAAAAGTTTATTAAGTGGTCAGGGTGGTCAATTACTCAGTAATTTCTTTTTTTATCATAACTCATCATTATATGCGTAGGCAGTTAAAATATTGTTTTGTTTTTTTCTCCATTTAAATTTGCTTTTTTTTCTTGTTTTTTTTTTGATGGGGGTAATTGAATGTTGACATAATTTTATAGGAAGGTCTCTGTAAAATTAACAAATTGTTGACATGGAGGATGTGAAGGGGAAAGGTAAAAATCCCCATTAATTGTTGAGGTAGTTAATGGACAGCCTCATACTGAACATTTTTTTTAGACGTTAAAATACTAAATTTAGTTGCTGCTTTAAAAAAAGTAGCTACAAAAACATAAAAATATATATCACATATTTTTATGTTTTTGTAGATACATAAAAATATATATCACATATTTTTATGTTTTTGTAGAAAGAGCTCGTTTCGAAACTGGATCTCCTGCTTATAAAACAAGGGCTCTAACCATTGCGCCACGGCCGCACGCACATAAATGCATACATACATACATACATACATACATACATACATACATACATACATACATACATACATACATACATACATACATACATACATACATACATACATACATACATACATACATACATACATACATACATACATACATACATACATACATACATACATACATACATACATACATACATACATACATACATACATACATACATACATGCATACATACATACATACATACATACATACATATACATACATATACATACATACATACATACATACATACATACATATACATATATACATATATTTTTTATGTTTACATATATAATTTAATTAATTAATAAAATCCAGTAGCAATTTAAACCAAATTGAAATTGCTTAAAAAATTAATTTTAATTTTTTAAGCAAATTCAATTGATTTGTTTTTCTACTGAGTTAAGTCAATAAATATTTCACTAAAGTGAAAACATTTTTTTAAAAATGTATCTTTTTTCTTTGTCTTTGATTTCATTTTTACTTTTTTTTTAAGTTAATTATTTAAAATTTTGTTTTTAGATTTGCTTATATTTAATTAATCCTAAAATGGCTTTAAATTTATTTCTTTTTACAATACTCTTTACGTCAGTAATATTAAATGCAACAGCCTGTTATATTATTTTGCTTAAAATAAAGAAGAAAGAAATAACGCATTTGTTTATTACCAGCATTTCGCTTACAAACATGCTGGAGTCAATAGTTGGATTTATTCCTCAGATTACTACTTCTGAAAATTTTTTGTTAGAACGAACTCCGTTATGTATTTCAAGTGGCTTTGCAGTTTTTGGCTGCGCCATAACAAGTATAACTCACATTACAGCGCTTTCCTTTATGAGAACAATTGTCATGAAATATCCTTTTTTTTATTACAAAACTTGCAAGAAGATGTGGGTTAAGGCTACTTTAATTGCAATGTGCTATTTTTACGGTTTTAGTTGGGCAACGTTTCCATTGATTGGTTGGTCTAAATATGAATTAGATCTTGATAAAAAGAGGTGTTCATTGGATTGGAAATTAACACAATCAGACTCTGCATCATATTTTTTAACAATTTTAATATTTTGCAATTTATTGCCGGCTATAGTTATATCAACAACGTTATACACCAGCAGAAAAATTATTTCTAAAAGAAATGCGCGTGAAGATTGTCAAAACCATCAAGCATCACTTGATATTTTAGAAAATGATTACTTAAACGTATGTCTTTTATCAACAGCAACATTTTTCTTTATTTGGACACCCTACGCTGTTATTGGTGTTTTAACAATACTAAAGATCGTTATACCGACGCAGTTGGTGACAGCAGGTGCTATGTTTGCAAAGTTGTCCACAATTACTAATGTTGTCATTAATTGTTTTATTGTTAAATCATTCAAAAACCAACTCCTTGAATTAAGATTAATTCAATATATTCGAAATATAAATAAAAAAATCTCAGCGGTTCATCCTTATCATGATTCAACCTTGAACTGAAGTTAATTGCATGTAATGTGTTGTTCAACGCAATGTGATATGTAATATTTTTAATTTCTCGTTATGTGTTGTTTAACGCAATGTGTTTGATAAGCATTTAAACCAACTCGATTTATTGAGTAAGTTTTTTTCAAACTATCAGAAAAATATCATATCTTTTCAGAAAAACTATATTTGCTCTTATCAAAAGGTTGCAAAAAACTCCTAATATGACATTTTGATCACTGTTTCATTGTAGAAAAATTAATATTCATCGTAATATGGTAGAAACAAGCACCATTAATTTCATTTCAAAATGTCGTTTAAAAATATCACGGGGGTATATATAACATGTTTCTTGCTTTGTTTTTAATTTTAGAGTGTAATTATTTAAACTAACGTTTTTATTAGACATCAATTCAATACTTTTTGAAAGGTTGGTTTACAAATAATAATGTAAAAGCACAATTTTTAATCAAATTTTACCCATAGTAGTAGTAAATTGAGATAGTTGTGTACTATTGTTTGCAGTAAAATCTTACCTTTGAAAATTGTTAAAATTTAATATAGATCTATTTCCATTTTAAAAGTTAAAATAAAAACATAACAATACTATTCGATCAAATATTAAAATTATATATATATATTTTTTCATAGTTGTTCAAAAGATATGAAACTAAAGTCAAAGACAAAAGACAAAAATGAATCTTTGTTATGAGAAGAGAAATACAAGATTTGATCAAAGCGCAACATACTTTCAGTAATTTTGAAACATTTGTTCCAAGATTTTTTTTAACTATTAAAATAAGGAATTACAACATATAGAGTAAAAAGGGGTCATATTATATACTTATAAGTTTTAATTAACTTTTTTATATAAAAAAAAGGATTTAGGGATACACCAGACTAATTGCAACACAATTTTTAAAAATGTTTTTTTGCTGTTTCTTAGATTTTATTTTTAACTTGCAGGGAAACAACAAAGATCATTGGTATATTATGCAATATAAAATTTAGTTATCACACAATTTAAAAAAAAAAATTAAAAAATTTTTTTTTTTGAAACTTACCCTGCTCCGGGGCAAGTTTCAAAACCCCGTTTACATTTGCAAATAGGGTAAGTTGCAACTCAATTCTTTGAAAGAACAAGCCTTGTATAGGCCTCCGAAAAAATATTCTTTTGTTTGTAATTTATATTATCTTGCATATATATTTTTTTAAATTTTAGCTTTTTATGTTTGAAAAATTATTCACCTACCATTATTTAGACTGTTTAAATACCTCTGAGTTATGCTGAAGCAAGATATTCTGTAGACAGCGCCGACCCAAGTAGGTGTCATGTGGAGGGGAGGGGGGTTAAAGTGTCATTACAACTTTTACCAACTAAAAAAAAAAAAGTCCTCTTTTTTTATAATATGCCAAATGCCTAGTTGACATTTATCCACTGACTGTCTAAATTTACCGATTAACTTGTTTAAACGGTCTATATTTGCTGACTGACTTGCCTAAAAGGATCAAATTTGTCGACTAAATGAATAAAAAATGCATTAATGAGGGGGGGGGAGGAGTGGGTGTCACACATCCTTCACGCCGGCCTTGTGTGTAGATTTAGAAGATGATGTAGTTACTGGGGGTTGTGGGTGTGTTACTGGAACAGATTCTGTTGGTTATGATAAAGCCTCAGGTTTATAATGATACTGTTTCAAACGTATTAGTATTTTTTAAGTGTTTGATTATATTGATGTTGTTTAGAAACAAATCAGTGCACAGTGGGCCAGAGGTGAGCAAAACCCTTCAAAAGCAACTTTTATATTGGAGGGCTTTCTTTTTGTAAATGTAATCTAGAGACTCCTAGCATTCTAAAACTGAAAAAAAAATTCCCTACTGTGATTTGTCAGTTCAGTATATCCATTTTACTACAATATGAAAAAGTTTTATTTTTCAAATATCAGTGAAAATGTAAAAAATCATATAAAATTGAAATATGAGGGCAGCACGACCATTTTACAACATTTTAATTTCTTAAGTTTATATTAGTCTATCGACATCATATATTAAAATAAGAAGAAAAAAAATGAATTTTTTTTTTATTCACACTTTTTTCAAAGTGTTTTTCAATAAAACCCCTTAAAATGCGCAACATTTTTTTTAACACTTAATTTTAAACATACCAAAAAATACTATATAGGCCGCACTAGAACGCGCATGTGATGTACTTTAAATTACACTCTCGTATATAGATAAAAGTTTACAACCATATTTTCTGAGCTCAGCTGAGCGCAGTAGGTGCTAGTCTTTTTATTATAAATGATATCCAATCGTAGATTTTGCTTTTAAAAACTGAAAAAGACGCATGAAGGACACTTTTAATAATTTAAATCTTGTTAAAATCATTTTTAAATAGCACTTTTAATGTTATTGTGAAAAGTTATGGAACATTTTATGAAAGAGGAGGGAATAATTAAGGACTTGACAGCTGGGAACTAATATACCCCATTCATATACTATTCTCAACTAGACTTATATTCATCGATAAACTTTAAGTTTCATAGAAATATCTCTCAGCGTTCAAAGATTTTGACCATATAAAATTTGTAACCCCTAATTGAGGGGGGTTTAAACATTATACGGTCATAATTTTTGAAAGCTCAGAGATAATACTATGAAACTTTATCGATGAATATAAGTCTAGTTGAGAATAGTACAAAAATATTTTATCAACTTGTTGCCCTCACGTTTGGGGTAGGTGGGGAAGGGGTGACAAAATTTAGGAACTTATTTATTCCCAGCCTCCAATCATCGCAATTTTTTGCGTTACTAAGGTGTCCAGAATAAGAAAGAGCCAAGGAAAAGTCAAAGACTCCAATCAATTAGGCCAAGGGGCTCTTGATGTACTAATGAATGTCATCTCCTAGATTCTTATATATATATATATATATATATATATATATATATATATATATATATATATATATATATATATATATATATATATATATATATATATATATATATATATATATATATATATATATATATATATTTATACATATCTATATATATATATATATATATGTATATATATATGTATATATATATATATATATATATATATGTATATATATATATATATATATATATATATATATTTATTTATATAAATATATATATATATATATATATATATATATATATACATATATATATATATATATATATATATATATATATATATATATATATATATATATATATATATATATATATATATATATATATGTATATATATATATATATAATATATATATATATATATATAATATATATATATATATATATATATATATATATATAATATATATATATATATATATATATATATATATATATATATATATATATATATATATATATATATATATAATATATATATATATATATATATATATATATATATATATATATATATATATATATATATATATATATATATATATATATATATATATATATATATATATATATATATGTTAATAAAGTTCAACTTTTATTAATATAAAAAGCCTAATTTCGTTGATATTGTGAATATAAACAAATAACGTTCAAAGTTATTAAACGTTATTTGTTTATATTTACAATGTCAAAAAAATTAAGTACATAAAATAAATTAAAATCACAAAAATATCTTGACAACCCATGACCACACCTACATGTGCGATTATAACCATTCCTGGAGACCAAATATGGCAATCTGATTTTCCTGATATCAATTACCTATATTTAGACATAAAACATGTACCAACTAATTGAAAAATCATCGGGGTATTCCAGGACTACCCTTGACCACCCCTATGAAAATCACCTGAGCTTGAAGACCGAATATGTCCAGTTTCAAATTCCCTGACCGCAATTACCTATATTTAGACATCCAACATATTCAATCTAATTGAAAAACATTGGGACATCTCAGGACCACCCTTGACCACTACTAAAATGACCATTTGAGCGGTCATGACCATTTCTAAAAACCACTTCTAAAGATCAAAGCAGCAATCATTTATATTTAGATATATAACTAGTCCCATCTAATTTAAAAACCATCTAGAAACCCCATGTTCATCCTTGATAACCCCAAAAATAACCACTCGTATGGTCATGACCACTCTAAAATCCAGTCCAAAAATGAAATCTTTGGCCCAAAATACTTTTATAAACATGTATATGTTTATATTTAACCCATAAATAGTTTCGCCATTTTTAGACAATTCTGGCCCTCTGTGCAGTGTTTTAAAATTTAATGACCGTTTGAGAGCGTGTAAAAACTTTACCCGAACTGAAAGATTTTACTTGGATTTGACCAAAAATTGTTTTGAGAAATTTCTAGATTTTGTTTTTGAAAAAAATTGTTTAATTAATTTACGTCAAATTTTTTTGATATGGAATCTACGGCTGGAATAAAATGCCTGTAATTGGATAACTATAAATTCATTGATAAAATGACTTTCATCTATTCCAAGATGATACAGAAAAAAACAACAACAAATTATTAATTATAATTAATAATTTTTTAGTTTTTAAATATATCTAACAAAGCAAATTATCTGTGCTAGCCACACTTTTAAGTTGTTTGCCACAAGCCATTTTTAATAAAAGTTATTTAAAATGGCTTGGATGAATACAAATGACAATGCTGAAGTGCAATGCATAATTGCACAAAGCTCTTTTCATGTGTCAACTAAAGAATTATATCAATGGCTAAATTCGCAAACAAGCCAACTTCATTTGTATGAAATGTTCAGGAACAACAAAAAACTGAATAATTTCATTATTAAATGGAAAATAAAAATTTCAAAACACACTTTGGTAGATTATTAATTCAGAAATAGGTTTGTCGATGAAGTGAATCAAGTTTTATGGATATTTAACTTAATTTATGACTTAAGAGGAATGATTGGAGTTGGCTTACTTTAATAACCAAATTTTAAATTATTTTGGAAGTTGGCTGATTTTTCATGGTAACTTTAATGATTGTTGTAATAAAATTAAT